TATTTCACATTAATTCATTTCCGTTCCTTTCCACTTCCAAGTTCCAACATAAACATTCTGTATTGAATATTATTTAATCAATCAACAACTCAATACATGCATAAGATGGAAATAAATGCTCCATTCTAAATTACTTTGGATCTACACTCTTGGGCAGGATGCATATATATTCTAGTGTTCTACATTAGTTTCACACTAATTTCCTATTATGACATTCGTTTGGGTGGGTTTTCCCCCAATAGTTGCCCAAACTTTGTTACCTTATATTTCCTCGGTTCATAACTAAATAAGCGCGCAACATGTTGAATTTTACACTACTCACATGTTCTACTTTGACTATGTTTTATACATTAATATTTTCATAAATTATTTTGTAAACGATGATGTTAAATTTGTTCTTATTGTACATTATCAACATAGGTTTTTTTACTAATAGAGAATACTACTCTCTACGTCTCGCGAAAATGGTCTCATTTTACCTTTTCGGGAAATTTCATTAAGATTGTCTCATACGAAGTACCAAATTTGGTAAAGCTTGTGTGTTTCTACATCTTTTTTGCTTTATTCTTACTTGATCAATTGAATATCAACCACAACCACATAAACTTACTTTTCTTAAACATGTCACCCCTCTTGTGCCAGGGTTAGTGGGACGAAGGCAGTATATATTACTCCGTAATAGTCAAAGTTCTACATCAACAAACATGAAAAGTAGACTGTTACACTTATTTAAGAACGGAAGAAGTATTATATAAATATAAAAATAAAAATAAAACATAAAGATGTTGTTTAATAATAGAAAACATTGTCTTGAATAGGAGTAAAAACATTTTGAAATTCTAAAATAGGACTTTCATGTTTTTATTACCTAAATAAGAGTAATTTCTGTCAAGTTTAGAAAAAATTGGCAGAAACTCATGTTTAAAGCCCAATAAAGCGAAAATTGGCAGAATAAAAATAAAAGTAAAGATAAAATATCGTTTAATTACATAGATTTTTTTTCTGAATGGGAGTAAAAACATTTTGAAATTCTAAAATAGGACCTTCATGTTTTTGTTACCTAAATAGGAGTAATTTCTGCTAAGTTTGGAAAAAACTTGACAGAACCTACCATTTTAAAATCCTGAAAAAGTCAAACCTGGCAGAAATTACTCCTATTTAGGGATAAAAACATGGCAGCTCTATTTTAGAATTTTAAACTTTTTTACTCATATTTAGGAATTTTCCCCTTAATTATACATAATTCTTTATATTATACTCCGTATATAGATATTAGTAATTATTTTGGTGCGTTTAACAGTTTAGCCTTTTAAAAAGTTCTGTATGTTTAACAAAAATCATATTAACAAAAAAATACACATTTAGAAGGTCATATTTTTGTAAATAATGCAACATGTATTTTAGTCATATATGTAATTATTTCTATTAAAATTGCAACCGAAATGGGTGAACGTTATTACAGAGTACTATATATGAAGTATCATACAAAGATAAAGATTTTCGGTGGAATTTATTCATGAATTTTTTTGAGCATGTTGTTAATGTAGTGTAGATTATATTTACAAAATTCGAACTTAATATTCATTCGAAAAGTTAGTTACATCAATTGTTAAAAAATACTGCACTTATATATATTGTTGGCATAGTATGGTTCAATAACTTTTTTACTCGACTTTCCTATTGAATTTTAAGCTGAATTTTGTGGACATGATTTGCACTTCATTCAGAACATGCTCAGTGCATCATATTTAAATACAATTATTAAATACGGAGTACTAATATTCTAACACATATAATGCATTTATTTATTACCTAAAATTGGGTGGTGTCAAATATTCAGTTACCCGTCAGTTTATATAAAATTGAATAAGCATTAATACAATCAATTCAATTGAATTTTAGAATGAAAATAATTACCTTTAAGGTTCCAATTTTTCAGCTTTGTACGTAGTATATATGTATGGTAAGAAATACAATTTCATTTTTGGAAAAAAGAAAACAATAAGCGGCTGATTTTATTTGGAAGGATAGACGGCTGAATGCACCAAGCATTATAACTTTCTTTACTAATGTACACCTAACTTATTTAGGGGGTGTTTGGATCTCATTCTCAAAACTGCTTCTGCTCCTTCAAGGAGCTGAAGCAGAAGCTGGAGTGTTTGGGTGAAATTCCAAAAGCACTTCTGGAGCTCTAATTTACTCTCAGAATCAGTTTTTTTAGAAGCGGGGGGGTACCAGCTTCTGAAAACTGATTCTGATTCTGCTTCTGCTTTTAAAAAAGAAGCAGAAGCAGAATCAGTTCCAAACACCCCCTTAATCATCAAATTTACTTTTTTCATTACTTTCCTATTTTATCCATATTTTGGGCGGGATATTTCCCTCCAGTTGTGGTGTAACGACTGTTACTTTATATTATATAAAGATGATATATACCAATATTGTGCATTCCTTATATACTTCGTATGACCTAATATTAGGGAAAACTCTTTTTTTATGGCATCATTGCATTTATGGACTAACAAACTAAAATTGGTAGCAGTACATACAGATAATCCTCATTCTAGAAAGATATATCATGCACAAATTAATACTCCATGACTTAGATGAAAGAATAACACCGGAAGTCATTTAAAATTTTACATAATTATTCCCATTATGCCCTTAAATTGGGCTAGATTTTTACCTCCAAAATAGTATCAACTCTGCTACTTTATACTGCGTATCAACTCTGCTACTTTATAATATGAACCGATAAATATATTTCATTTCATATTCTTTTGTAGATGTACGGGGAATCGATATTGCTATTTTATTTATTTCATGATTGGTTTGTTTGAAGAATGTATTTCATGATTAGTGATTTTATTTACATGTGACGTTACATACTTACAACTTAAATCCTGAAACCTTAAAACTAAATTGAGCTTGAGAAACGTTTCCAGAACGTTACAATTAAGATTTGTACTTTAAATTAATACATATGAGAAAATATTTGTCACCAAATTAAGATTATTTTTATTATGACTACAATTATTAATGCATTAAGGAGAGAAATCTTTACTAAATTAGATATACTACGTATCATGCATAACTTAATTACACTTTAGGAGGGAATTTTGGAGCCAAAAGTTGGAGACACTTTGTTACTTTATATTATATAAAGATATATATGTTGACCGGGTTTTCCAGTCGTTGACCGGGCTGACCTGCCGGGTCCGGGTCGACCCTTGACCCAGCCATCGCTCCGGGTGGCTCTCTGGTCCGGTTTTTACAACATAGCGATATACTTCCTCCGTTCTTAAATAAATGCAACGGTCAACATTTCACACTTGCCGAGACACAACTTTGACCATTAATATAAATGATTTAGTATTAGTAAAAAAAATTAAAAAAAATAGATTATGAAAATTTACAATGAGACAAGTTTAACAATATTTTTTTCATAAAATAATATTATTACATTAATAAATAAAACGTAGTCAAAGTAGAACATGTGAATAGTGTGAAAGTCAAAGTGTTGCATTTATTTAAGAACGGAGGTAGTATGAGGTATTTTTGATAGTTCAAATAAATTTAGTCACTTTTTGTACTACAACAAAAACAGGTTCTATTTTTGTCTAATGATAAGCTGAGTGTATTATTTCTGTCATTATTTCCTAACGACGGTGCAACCATAACATTGATATAGATAACTCTAAAACGAAGGCAGAATGTTTCCTAATTTAACATTTTCTTCTCTTGCAAAGAGAAACGAAGACAATATTAATAATTAGATACCAATGAACTTATTAGCTAAAACCACTAGAGGATTTAGAGGGGCAAGCACCCCTGCTTCCGGTCTCAAACAGTACTGCTAGAGGATAGACATGTATGTTCCCCGCTTCCGGTCCCAAAGATAAAAATATTACTACCAGCGGATAGACTTGATCCCCGCTTCTAATCTAATTGAACTAATTTTGAGATGGTGATGATATTATATTACTAGTATATTTCAATTTAGTGAATTTATTATACAATGTGTAGGGTTGGACAGATCCTATACATGGAAATGGCTCGATTGATACTTCTAAACGTTAGAGGGAATGTTCTGCCTAGTCCTTCCTCAGTTCCTTAAAAGCCGATGATACAGATTTATGGATGATATCGTGTCAAATAGCTCATGTCATGCAAATTGTTTTTGGCATAGATATGACATATCCCTGCCAATTACGTGGAATACTTCTATTTTATTAACTTTAATAGTGGACAAATACTAATGTCTTCAACAACAAAGTGCATCATGCATAGTTGTAGTCTAATAGGTAAAAAACATTATTGTCCTTATTTTCAAATGCAGAAACTTGGTCAATATTTACACATATGTAATAGGAGTAAATTATATGACAGTTACTAATCTCAGCTCCATAAGGAAGGGATAGTGTTTCCTAAATTAAACTAAAATTGTCGTCTGTTACCAAACACAAAATGAAGACAATATCATTTGATACAAATGGATCGGATGTCTCTATAAATAAATTGTTTCCGCTAACAATAAGATAGATCAAACTCATCAAACAAAAGCTGCATCAATATAATGGGATTATCTTTAGTAACCTTAGTTGTCTTTATTACATTTTCTTTTTCATTTGCTTACGCCTCTGATCCAAGTCCTGTTCAAGATTTTTGTGTTGCAGATAGGAAAGCTACTGGTACTTCTCATACCATTCTTAATTAAATATATAATGCCAATTATGTATTGTTATTATCGGAATAATAATTAAAAGATACAAATCATGCAAATATATACAAAGTTAACATAATTATATATGTGTGTGCTTATATTTTTATTGTTATGTGTGTGTTAATGTAATTATATGCTTATATAAATCTGTGTGTACACACATATATTACAAATTAAAAGCACGCACGGCGCACACGCGCACACACATATATATCACTCAATTCAAATATTTGGAGCATATTTGTTATTAAGTAATTTTTTGTATAAATAGTCATGCATATGATCATAATTTTATCTACAATAACTCCATAGTAATAATACCTATGACATTATGAGCCAGTTTAGTAACACTGGTAAACTCGGCCGAAATTGAGGAAAGTCTGACTAAAACAATTGAATTGACTGAATTTGTTAAATACGGAAAAATACATTTAAAATATACAGAGTATTTTATAAATTAAAAATTAAAAAATATTTAATATGATTTTCTACGGTAACTTCACACAATTTATTCAGAAAAATAATTACAACCTTATCACATGAAATCGAGAATTACTTCCTTTATGCCCAACCTTAATTTTTCTGATTTGAAACATTTGTGCAGTATTCATGAATGGGATGGCGTGCAAAGACCCAAAACTTGCAACCGTAGACGATTTCTTCACTTCGGGTTTGAATACGGCTTCGCGTCCGCGGGCCGGACTCCCCGGGTGGAATTACAGCGCCGCCAGTGTGGAGGAAATACCCGGGCTGAACACGCTCGGGCTCGCCATGATCCGTAACGAATTCGCGGTGAATTTCGCCATTCCGCCCCACTTTCACTTGCGAGCAACCGAGATGTCCCTCGTTTTACAAGGTCGGGTCTTCTTCGGGTTTGTAACCGTTGACCCAATTGACAGCGCCAAAAGCCGCGTCTTTGCAAGAAATTACAGTGCTGGAGATGTATTCGTTATACCCCAAAGCCTTGTCCATTTCGGGAAAAATATTGGCCAGGGAAAGGCGACGACCATTTCAATGTTCAGCAGCCAGAATCCTGGTCTGAAAATCATACCAGCCCAGCTCTTTGGAAAGGACTCAACAATCCCGGTGGATGTGTTGTCCCAATCATTCCGAGTTTCTCATGAAGTAATTCAACAGATTAGATCACATTTCTGATGATCTTCTCATGCTTACGAAGAATAATCGACAAATAAAAATGTTTACGGAGTACTTCGTATAATATTGGGCGTACAATAATTGGTAAAGTAGTAGATCAATGTATATTTATAATAAGTTTAATGATGTTTAATTTACTGAGTCTATATTTATTTATGTAATATTTGGTGTACAATGACAGAGGCAAATTTTAAAGAATCACAAAAAATATTACTCCCTCCGTCCCGCAATAAACTTCACACTATCCTTTTTGGGCAGTCCCAAAATTAACTTCACACTTCAAAACTTTCTTTATATGGCAAATTATCTGCATCAAAACAGTGTCAAACAATGTCCAAACAGTGTTTGAACAGTGCAAAACAGCGCACTCCACAATAAAGTCAAATTTATTTTCTTAATCTGTGTGAAGTTTATTGCGAGACGGAGGGAGTAGTAAAAAATATTAATAAATATATAGTATAACAATCATATAGGGAGTACGTATTATTAATGTTTGTTTAATATATTAGTAAAAAAGTAAAAATATTTGGAGTATATTAATACTCCAAATAATAAATATTTGTTTATTTGGAGTATGAAAGTTACATATTTATACTCATATACTGAAAGTACTTTAAACAAAGAATATTTTCATATGATTTTTATATTATAAATAAACAATTTTCAATAAAAATATATAATTGGTCAAAGTTTTGAAAATGACAAAGTTTTTCAGGACGAAAGTAGGAGAATCATATATGTTTCCTTGTTTTTCGAGGGCGGGTCTTCTTCGGGGTCGTAACCGTTGACCCAATTGACAGCGCTAGAAGTCGTTTCTTTGCAAGAAATTACAGTGCAAGAGATGTATTCGTTATACCCCATATCCTTGTCCATTTTGTGAAAAATATCTATTAATACTCCCTCCGTTCTTTATTATCTGTCCTCTTAGGCTTTGGTACGGGTTTTAAGAGGAAAATAGTAGGGGTAGTGTAAAAGGTGTAATGAGTAGTGTGTAAATGAAAAAGGAGGAAAGAGAAAGGGGTAATGGTAATAAAAGTGGGGGTATAAAGGTATATTTAAAGTAAAAACTTTCCTTAAATGGAAAGGAGGACAAATAAAAAAAAACGTCCCAAAAAGGAAAGAAGAACTTTTATTAAAGAACGGAGGGAGTATATAAAGGAGCAGTGTTTTGTGAATAGGTTCCCCCCCAAAACATCAAGATCATGTGTTTATCCTTTTTTCCTTCAAAAAATTTGGAAAATCAAATTTTGTGAAGACATTATTGGAGCCCGAGAATATAATTTGGTGATCTTGGTGATGAGCTCCATGGTGCCTGCTGCTTATTGGCTAATAAAACGGTGTATAGTGACAATGAAGTTCCCATGTGTTTCTATTGGGCAATGAGGTCGGCAGCCCTGTTTATTTAAATGGTTAGTTTTATGTGGGGTAGCTATTTGGGTGAAATACAATTTCTTATTGGTTCAAGGGGGTGGGCAGATCTGATTTAGTGGGTGGAATTTCAGAGCCAAGATTTGATGTATTTTACAGATTCATTCCTATTGGTCGAGGGGGTGGTGGAATAGTGAAATTTTTTATCAACACCTAACAAGTGGCAAAGCTTTGCTGTCTATTTAAAGGCAATACGGATGAAAGCCACCACCATCATCATTCGCATAGCAAACAGAAATAAGGAAATAAAAAGGCATTTGTGGGGATGAAAGGTCTGGCTTCAGCTGCTTGCACATCGTTAGAGAGATCTCCCTTCAGTGACTTGCATCATCAAATCCAGCGAAATCCCAGAGTTCGGTTGAGGAAGACTGATCGGAGATGGGTCTCCAGTTGTCCGGGCGTCAAAGTTGAGCACCATTCCTCTAGCAGACTTCACATTTGTATCTAGAATATGACAATAGCACGCTGAGTTCATAAATTCTCAACTGTGATAGTGTATGAGTAAAGGAAATGCACAAATTTCTCACTTTGGTTGTAAAAATGGCCTGGAACAATGAACCGCTGGCAGCCTCTGTCTCGGGGGCATGTGTTCACGGTATTTCCATAAAAAAAAAATGGAAACTTTAGCCAGCCTGTCATTGGGAGATGTAAAACTTCTTTAGGAAGGAATATCCATGTTTTTCTATGAATATGGAGACCTCATTTTAAAGGAACACCACCAAATCCTTCCGCTTCTTCTCTTTCATTTAAAGTTCTGAACATACAACAAGAATATTATCCCTATTATGCCCATAGAATTGCTCTTACTTCATATTGTGTGCTTGGGTATTTTTCAAAATAATGCGTTTACATGTTAATTAGAGGGAAATGCCACACTGATATCAGTTTAGAAAATTGTTCTTGCAATATATTGTTGTCTTACAAACTTATGTCATTTCCACTTCAAATTTCAAACAGTGTAATGCCAGAGTTTTTAAACACATCATCTTAGTGTGAGCTGTAGGTTAGTGTTGTTTATAAAATTTACCCATTTCAATGATACACATTGTGGATTTTATTTTAGAGCCTACTCACAGTAGGTTAGGAAAGTGCTAAAAGCAAAAGATTAGATATCTACAATGAGTTCAGTATATGTGTTTTATACAAATAGAAATACATTTCATTATAAGCAACGCAGTACACAATAATGCATTCAAGCTATAATTGTATGATGTTATTCAAAGTTAAGATTTTTATGGGGAAATGAACATTTGTTGGAGGAAAAGATTTTTATGCAGTCAAGATTTTCATTCAAAGTTATGATTTTTTTTAAAGAGTAAATACGAATGTGTTTGGTGTGAGAGAAGATATGTATATACACACACACATATCTATATAGAAACCCAGATATATAAAATATAAATAAAAAAGATATGTTCTACTTGGATAGCTTGCTGCTGCTTATCTGCTTCCGGCTATTCAGCAAGCGTAACTTGATATGTAATCAGTCAAATATTTAATCAGGGACAGGTTTTTGTGTGATCCGTCCAACAAGATTGCTTATTTGAAGAACAATCAGACTTGCTAATTTTAAGTCGATCTCTTTAGGAGTATCCACCAGAAGTTCCTGCATCCAATTTCAAGTACTTAAATACGGAGTATGGGATAAAAGATAATTAACCTAATTGTCAAATTAATCACCAGCTAACATAGCCAGTTCAAATAGATGCTTGGATTTTTTCATGCTCGATAAACATTTCCATTTTGAAATGTTTAATGTATTGTGTCTACCTCCTTTAGGATCTAGATAAACCCCAATCGATGAACTATGCTTGCCTCTACGATTTTGAAATTACATAGATTAATCTATACGAAGTATCATAAACACACACTGATATTGGTATCTAATGTGTGCACACGCGTGTGAAGGCAGCACGAGTTTTTTAGAATTTAAGGCCACGCATAAATATAAATTTATTTTAGGATTTCAGAACTGTCTGGAAATTGAATTTCAAACCTATTTTAAAACAACACAATTAATGTCATATTCTCTAAAAGTAAAATTTTAAAACAAGTTTTGTTATTTAAAAGTTAATTTTTTAACTCAATTAAAAAAAATTGTAAGATCCATGGTCATTTAACATTAGGATATTTTGGTAAAGATAAAATAAGATATGAAGTGAAAAGTTTTGTGTTTTATGCATAAAGGCAGATCGATTTTAAAATATTATAAGCATGAGCCTTATTAAATTTTTAGCTAATGTTTTTTGAAAGATATTGTGTGTTCATATATATGAAATCAATGCATGTATAATCCAATATCGTTTTCTGCAAGGAAAAAAACGTAAGTATTGTGGAAGTAATACATGCAGATCGGCTAGATTTGTAGGTTGTGAATGCGGTGATTTACAGGTCCGATTGGACTGTTTAAAGAGACGCTGAATCGGTGAGATTTAGGCGTGTAGTAGAGGGAGTGTATTATTACCGTTTGTATAGAGCTTGGAGCGGCGGAGGAGGCGATCGAGGTCGAGGAGGACTATCGTCGGTTGATTCATGGCTGGCGGGTGAATACGGTGGCGGAGAACCGTATCTCGGTATGGATTGGAGGTAGCGTGACTGATTTTGGTCGTGCAGTGAGGTTTAACCTATGGTTGGTTGGAGAGGGAGCCTGGCCGATTGATTTTGCTTGGAAGAAATGAAATGTTGGGAAGACCTGGAGGAATTCTATGGTTTGACATGTTGGGGTGTGTTGGATGGGCTTCTCATTGTCACAATTGATGAGCCACTTATTTCAGGCATGTTTAAATAAAATGAATTTACGTAGTACATACTTAGGATCCCAACACTTACAAATGGGTTAGTTTTATTTGTTTTAAATACTCACTTAGTCACTTCGTATTAAAAATAAGTGTCTCAATAAATTTTTCATGTAGTTTAAGATAATTTATAAGTTTATTGTTCACTATTTGAAAAAGTATGAGAGTTTGGGTACTAATGCAATATTGTTTACCTTAAAATATATGGTAGTTGCTTTTGGTGTGGATTTATTTCCTAAAATATTGTAAGACATTTATTTTTTTTATACGACCAAAAAAAGAAAGTGGGACACTTATTATGATACAGAGGGAGTAAATAATACTCCCTTCGTCCCATACAAGGGATTTTAATTTTTTTCAGATGTCTCATATAAAGATTCTCATTTATTTTTTAGGAAACAACTAACACTCTTAAATGACCTATAATTTATATTTAAGCATAAGTTAAGATTGACATAACATATTTTCACATATATGCACCCCCCTGGTTTGCATGTTTACACAGGCAATTTGTCTCACAAATGCAATTCGTATAGATGTAAAATCACTCTATTACTTAGTCATTATAAATATTTACCTTTAATGTAACTAAAATATATAAACCTTTGAATATAAAAAAAATAGCTAAGATTCCACTGGAGAAAATGATTTCAACGGGGGTTAGTGCGAGGTAAAAGGTGTTAATTTTCAAGCATTCCTTAACACATTCACATATTAGCTTGCTATTCCAATATATTCTTCTATAGAAAATGTTTTTCATCTAAATAAAATTCTTCACAGGTCAGGCGTTTTATTTCCCAAATGGCCCGGTGAGGACATTGAGTATATCCACGATTTATAGTCTATCAAGACTTGGAATTT